GGAGAAGAGGAGCAGCAAGGGGGGGGGTCAAACAGAGCTTTCCTCTGGCTCACCTTTGTCTCCAGAGAAACCCGGGAAGAAAAAGGTCACAAGTTGGTCCAACTACAGAGCTTGGCAAGGGCTCAGGCGAAAACAGCCTCAGTCTTTCACGCTGGCACCGTCCTTTTAACAAAGACTTGCCGCTGCAGCGATGCACGGTGACTGCAATTCCCTCCCCTCTGCATCGCCAGGAGGAGCAGGCTGTGGCGAGGAAGAGAACGGACACACGAAGCCGGCCTGGAATCTAGTTTCGTTTTATTTTAGCAAACTGCACGTTCTTCACTTATCAACATCTCTACATTAGCAACTGTATAGCTCTCCAACTTTTCTTTAAAAAAGGGTAAACAAGAGGTGACAAAACTCAGGCTCTTCGTCTCTTAAAAACATCTGAAAGTTGGATGCGAGAAGACAATCAATACATTTTGGTTTGAAGGTAACAGATGTGGTGTGGAAACACTAATTCAAATCACCCGCCCAACCGAGAACTGCCCCTTCGGGAGCCCCTCCGGCACCAGGCGATCAGCGGACGCTGCAGCTCCGTCCGCTGAAGACCTGACTCGCCGTCACCCAAACCTCGCTGGTCTGAAGGAGCCGAACGCGCCGCCCCCTCCGCCCGTCGCTCCACTGGCCCGGCAGAAAGCAGCACCTCCCGGACTCAGTGCAAGTGCTGTATGTACAACCGCTTCCTCACAGAAGCGTTAAGGACCTCGTCATGCAGGGGATCTAGGGAGGACTCTTCTGCCGCGGCACCTTCTCGGTAGGAACCACATTCCCCCAGTCATCCTGTTCCTGCTGTCTAAAGATACCAAGATCTTCTCTGAAGAATTTTTAAAAGCCAGCCCTCCCCCCCGAAACCCAGGAGGAACACTGTAAAATGTACAGATTCTATACGTCCCAGAAAAGTCCTAAAGTTAGCGCAGGAACTAGAGATGACTTCGTTCCAGGGGAGGGGCAGGCACGAGGCACAGCATTGAGATCTAACGAATGCTCGGGTTGGTTTGATTTAGTTTTCAGCTTTTTCCCCCCCATCATCTAAGACAAAAAAAAAATAGTAAAAAAAAAAAAAAAAAAAGAAAAAAGTGTTTAAGCATCAGAACTAAAATACAAATGCACGTTGACTTATAAAACAAGATTGTGGATTTGACCATGGGATTCCCTGACAGTGGAAAAATTTTACTTTTTTGCCCGGAGAGATTTCCTCATGGTGGATTTGCCCTTGGCAGAGGGTTTCACTTCCTTCCTCCCGCTGGCTGCTGGTTTCTTGGAAGAGCTGCCACCAGAGGGCTTCTTGATGGCTGGGGCTGCTGGTTTGGCTTTCTTAGCAGGGGTTTTCACCTTGGGAGGGGGCTTTGCTTTCCCCCGGCGGGCTGCGGGGGTTTTTCTTGGCTTGGGTTTGGACTCTCTCCGCTTCATCGGAGGGGCCCTGCTCCGTGACTTCGGAGGCGGTCTCTTCTGCATCCTGTCAGAAAGAGAGACAGCACAAGATCTCAGTGGAGGCGCAAACGCTCCGCAGAGCGGAGCTGCTGCCGTCAGTTGGCATCAACGAAGCAGATCTTGGCGTCCTTGCTCTTTACCGCGGCTGTTCCGTCGCGCAGCGGTACGTTTCATTAGCTAAATCCCAGCGAGCAAGAACTCCTCTGGTGGATCTTGCCACGCTAAGCACTTCCCAAGCCCCGCAGTGCTCTGCCAGCGAGGTTTCGAGCTCCTTCGTGGGGCACATAAACATACCAACAGCAACAACGAATCAAAGTCAACTGTCAGAACAATTAAGGAGACCCAAGCGCTCGCTCTCCTCTCTCAATGGCACTGTGTTACTTAACGAACAACACTTATCTGAAATCCACATTCTGAGTAAGGCAGGTTTCATATCTGGCTACAGAACTGCAAATAATACCGTAGGGAAAAGCTTTCCTAAGGAAACACTTAATAAATACAAAAAGTCTCACGTGAAAAGCACAAAAGGTGACTTTAGGAGACTAAAGGCAATACAAAGAATAAATACGGGCTGTCTTCTCATCTGGAGGAGAAAAAAAAAGGTAGTCTTCAAATTATGGAACGGGGGAGATCACTAGCTCTGGAGCAAGGCATCATCACAAGCTTCTTCCAACACCTCTGAGCAACAGCCTTGTGGGCAAATAACCACACCAAGAGACAAACCTGTGCGCTCTACCGCTGTGACAGCCACTTTTATTTCATCCGAAGGAGCCCATTTATCTCTCATGCTGCCATACCTCTTCTTTGGTGGTGGCTCTTCCTCCTCAGACTCTTCCTCCTCGGATTCTTCTTCCTCCTCAGATTCCTCCTCTTCGTCCTCATCAGATTCCTCCGAGTCCTCATCCTGCTGCTTCTCTGGGTAGAGCACATCTGGGCTACAAGAGGGTTCTTGTCAGAGCACGACTGATTTCTAAGGATACGACTCCAGCGTAACGCTGGCTCTCCTGCGGCACTGCTGACGGACCCCCAGGAACACCCCCGAGACCTCTGTGCTTGCTGCTATCTGAAACCAGCGTCATTTAGCCTCTGCGACGGCTGAAGCGCGACAGCCTGTGCGTCACCAGGAACGCCCCAGCCCCCAGCTGCCCTTTCCCTGCTTCCCCTCCTCATTGCTCCTCCTGCGCCAGCACACGAAATACCTGCAGGCAACGAAGGGATGAGATGAGACTTCAGTGGCGCCGAACGGAGGCTGAAACCACCGAGGACTCTACGTGTGCAATACAAGAAGGCGGGGAGCAGAGAGGTGCACGACTACACTGCCCTTTGGCTCTCCGGGGGACACTAAGCCACCACCACTGGGCTCCACGTGGCCCAGCACAATATACACTCACAGCAGGAGAAGAAAGGCTGGTTTAGTTTCACAGGAGCTCATCTAGGGCATCTTCCCTCCTCCCACCTCTCCTCCACATCGGTAGTAGGAAAGGCAAACACCTGGTTCTCCTACGAGCATCCTTCCATAAGGAACACCACCACACTACCTGCTCACGCGGATTTGTTTTAGCATGGGAACACTTGAACAGCCCCCAGCCTGCAAGAAAAGCATCATGACAGAGTACCTGAGAATACTGAGCCCGGTATTTCTACTGCCCTTAAAAGCTTCCCTTGCTAATGAAGTCAGCTTTATGTCCACTCACAGTCAGACACCCAAGTAATGTCACTGTCTAGAGTACGGGTGACAACGTCGCCCTTCATCCGTTATTAAACCCTCCACAAACCCCCCAGTGAACAGGATGTCGGCCGATGAACTTCAGCACCGCTCTCTGGCTGAGAACATCGTTTCACAGCCAAGCTCTTTACCTAGGATAATAGGGGAAGCAAAGCTGAAAGGTTCCACTGAAGCCCTTCCCAGAAATCTGCTCCATCCAGCCATTCTTCTCACATTTCTGCAGGGTTCTCTTCAGTAGATGCACTGTGAAGGAAAAAAAAAAAAAAAAAAAAATCAGAGAAAGGTTGTGTTACTATCTTTACCCACTTGTCTAACCTCACTGCTCTCTGCAGTGCCCTCTGAAATCAGAGATGGCGAGTCAGGAGGGAGTCTCCTTCGCCCAGGGCACCTGCAGAGCAACGAAACAGCACTGGAGACCTGAGACTCACGAAGATATCACCCCCTGCTTCCTTCTGCCCTCAGCAAAGAGCAGCTGCTGCGGGTAGGACCCAGCTAGACCACTGTGTTTAGAAGTTTTAGTACGTCTTATTTAAAGGGAAATCCTCTCACAGTTCATTCTCAAGCAAGATGTTTGTTCCTGAACACTTAGCAAGCTTGGCTCTAAATTCTCCAAAGGAAGAAGTCAAGAAGGGAGCATGTTTTCGATGTCATGATCAAGCGATCCTCCTTTATAAGCGCATTCAACAGCACCACGTAACTACTTCTGTCCAAATTCAAACCAAGTCTCAGCTTTCTTCGGCCTGTTCTCCAAAGTGGTTTTAAAACCAAGTCTTTACCCTGTTTTCGCCCTCCTTGTGTTCTAAATTTCATATGTGGTGCATCTTCCCCTGATTTGTGTTTTGGTGGGGTTTTTTTAAAGGGAAAATATTTGGTCTAGAAATATGACAAATGCAGTTTTTCTTCCAGTCTTCTGTTCCATTGTGCACTGTGTGAGAATTGTAACCAAAACCGTGCAAGTACAGGGGATCTTTGTCTCTGTCAAAGGGCTGAAGTTGTTTATTCAGTTGAAAGCCATTCTCAGCTTGAATTCGAGGGACCATTTACATATTCAGCTCCCTCCAAACCAAGGGAAACGCAAGGCCTGCCCTCAAGCGCGTTCCAAAGAGGTTCACTTGAGAAATGGAAAGAGAAAAATCCAAAGAAACATGCTGCCTGAACTGTCACCCGAACCCGTTCTGTACAGCTAATGCAAAGGTATTCCCTCCAACCACTAACTCAACACTCCCCAAATGGGCTTTTAGCAAAGCACAGCAAGAGAATCATTCGGGACGACGCCGTACCTTCACCAGCTCACAGGCCACCTCTGCCGAGACGTTTTACCTTGGCACTGGGAGAGCTCGCACAGATCACGGAGCTGATCGTATCCACCGAATTACTAGTGTTGCACATCAGGATCCTCACAGACCAAGAACTCTTCCAAAACCCCACGCTTTTCATAAACAGGAGCAACACATAAAACATAAGGCTGTTTTTACCCTGGGTACCTAAGATCAATAGCAGCACGTCAAGGATGTGACTGCAGTCGAGTCCAGTTACAAGTACGGGGGGGAGCGCAGAGCACTGGTTCTGCAGCGCGTACCCACCCGCTTTTACATCTCACCAAATCTTCCTCTGGTTGCTCTTCAAACAGAGCAGAGATCATAAAAAATCCTTTTACATAATGGAAGGAGGAAGAAAACAACAGATTGCAAGCTGAAATTTCCTTATCTGACTGGCACGACTGACAAGCACTGGAGGCTGCCTCAACACAGGCCTCGAAGGACCAGGGCCATTGCCAATGGTCCTGAAAATAAATAATTTTATTATTTATACCATAAATATTTCCTGTGATTCCGTGATGTCGGCAAGCCCGGTGTCAACCAGCCGTGCTGATGCCGTGCTTCAGCTCCAGGTGAAGAGTGCGGGATCAGCAATCTCCTCCCCCGCCCCACGTCCCGAGGGATGGGTCCCGCACCGTGACACCACAGTCACAAACTGGTCTACTTTTAGGTTTGGCTCTAGCGGAGTCCGCTGCGAGCTCATCCTGCCTCAAATGACCTCCAGCCTCAGTTCAACAACTGCATGGGGGCTCAGACCCACCAATGCAAACAAGCCATTAGGAGATCTGCTCTAAAGTCTCTGTCAGTATTGCTTCTGCTAATGCGAAAGTCAAACCAGAAGCGTCATTCCTGGGAACAGAGACATGCCAAATCCCTTTCCAAATAAACCAGGATTAGCTTCTCTCCTCACTTGCTTGACCTTTTAAAAATCAGCGCCAAAGGAGGACCTCAAACAAATCAGTAAGGGGGTGGCTTGTGAATTTTGTTTTTTAAAGTTAGACTACGTGACTTCTCCAAATAAAAAGCAACTAGGAACTGCATTTATGCCAAGCTGTAGCCTTTCAAAATAGAGAGAGACAGATGATATCAACGTAGCGATTTAAGAACAATAAACTACTTGAATGCTATTCCCCCTTCCCGGGAACGTGCTCTAGACAAGAGAAACATGCATCACGTCTCAGAAACCAGCCTTTGTCAGGCTTGAAAGGATCTAATGGGAATGAAAAACACTGAGCATCGCTGCAGCACAGAGAGCCGAGCAGCTGGCAGCTCCCCAGCAAGCTCAAGAGACCAGTTCAAAGGTGCTGCACAGGCACATCTGCAGCTGCAGGACCCTTTCAGCGCGTAGAACAGAAGCGTTACACGGATCGGTACTTTACCCTGGAAGTTGGAGTTGGTCCCTGGGTGGTTTTCCAGGATGTACTTCTTCAGTGCTGTGGTGGAACAGGTCTTCGGTTCGTTCATGGCCGCAATAGCAGACAGGATGGCATCTTCCATCAGAGTCCCACCCAGCAGGGGCTTCTCCCCTGATTTCTTCAGCTATTTTCCAAGGAGGAAGAGAAAAGCATCAAGACAAAATTCTCCCAAACCAGGTCAGGACAAGCTCCTCTGCACCAGGTGGGTCGGCGCTCCTGCATTAGCACAGACACGTTTTATATTAAAACGCTGCACAGGGAACGCTGCTCTCCCAGTGTTAATTGGGAGGACAGGCCTATTCAGTCAACTGGTCTGGAGGGTTCTTTATTGGTCGCACATCGTCCTAGTCCCCAAATATACTGCAAGGATGTGGCAATCTAAGGGCCTATCACTCGGGGAAGGGAATAAATCAAATCTTCCTCCATCCCCCAGACCAAATGTACCCAAGAGACTTCTATGGCTTAGACACGAGAAAAAGACGTTGCAGACATCTGGGGTACCTACAATTAGTGACGGGAAGGAAAGCTTACCCCACCAGCTCCCCTACTGTGCTAGTGAGTCAGAGCCGAAGCGGCGTGTGGAGCACGCCAAACAAGGAAGGCAGAGGGGTCTGCTCCAGAAATGTAGACCGAGAATAAGAGTCCTACTGCTTCACAGTTGGACAACTCCTGCATATGACAGGCTGCTAAAGAAAGGTGTACCCAACAAAGCTGGGGGGGTGGGAGGCAGAGAGGGCGAGTTAATTTATATCCAAGCCTCGTGGTCGGTACAGTCAACAAACCCAGATGAACTCTGGCTCTGACCTGGAATGTCCCAGACGCTCCCTTCCCTGTGATCTGCTCTAACTGGCCCTTCTCTACAGCTCTCTGCAGGGCATTCTTCAACAGCTGGGGTCTGAAACACAGGAGGATAAAGCTTTACTGACACAGACTGACAGCTTAAAAAAACAAACAGAGAAACAACACTTTACACAGTGTGAGCAGAGCAGTACTTACAAGTGGTACCTGCCTACATACAGACACTGTACACGGAGATCTGTCAGCAAGCGCTGATTACATGAGGAGAACAATGTACGTTAGCGGAAATTCAATCGCAACGCTCTCTTGGTGTCACTGTGTATCCAACAGACAAGCTTCACGTGGCAGGGTTTACTGATTTGGAAAAGCACATTTGGACTCGGTGGCCAATGAGTCAGCCAGCCCGCAGACCAACAAGGGACTGAGTACAGGCGCCTGGGAGACTTGATGCGCAGGGTTTTCCTAGATTTGCTTCCTCCAAGCCTTGACCTGCTCCACAGGGGCAAACTTAAAGATTACTGTGCCAGCTAAAGCATCCAGAACCACGTGGGACAAGATCCCAAGGAGAGACCTTCGCGTCCAGGCAGCTAAAGGGATCTGGGTTTGGTTAAGGACGGAGACGCGCAGAGCAACGCCGACGTCGGGAACAAAGGTTGGGTGTGGAGGGATGCAGAAAAAGGCACAGCTTTTCCTCAAGCTTTCCTGCAGGCTCTGCAACGCAGAGCACCACCTGTCTGCCGCCTGCTGAAACACTGAACCGAATCCCCGTGAAGCGAGGCGAAGCCCGAGGAAGGCCCCGTCTCCCTGCTCCTCCGCAGCTCTGCTTGCCAAAGCGGGCTCCTGCACCTACCTTATATCTACTTTGAGTTTGGGGTAATACTGAGACACATATTTCTTGATCAGGCTGTAAGAAGCTTCCTTCGGCTCACAAAGGCGGGTGAAAGCCAGTGGCAGGATATCTTCCAGCTTGACTTGTTGCTCTGCGGCCGAAGCGGAAGTGCTTTTCTGAAATACACATACTTTTACGCATCAGTGGGGCCTAAAACTCGGGGTTTTCTGAACCAGCAATGCACAGGTGGCGAGAAGCGCTCCTGGCACTGGCCACAGATCTGGAAAATCAAGTTCTGCAAGGCACTTCTTTAAATTAACAACTTAAAAAGTTTATCAGCTTAAGTAAAATCGAGCAAATTTGGCTGGAATTTTCATAGGAGTCTTAGGAAAGTTTTACAAATACAAATCGCTGAGGATTTAACAACATCTGTATTTTTAATGATTTCCTTCCTCTTTCTATAGACACTTTCCTCTGCTGCCCTTCAATGAGAGGTGAAAATGATACACGCCGACATGAAAGTTAAAAACCATCAAAGGCAAGGCCTGTTCACACAGATCAAATCTTCCCCAAAATGAACACCTAAACAGAAGTGTGTTTTTTTTTTTTTCCTTCAGATGATAGAATGAAATCTTGATTGAAAGGCAACACTCCCTGCCGAATTTTCCTCCATCCCTTTGTTACAATGAGGAAGGGATGATCAGGAAAAAAACGGTCTGTTCTTTGTACGGAAAAGACAGTGGGGAAATGTGCTGAAGTTTAATGATTTTGATGCTGAACAGCAGCTTTGCAAACAGCCGAACAGCTGAGGGTGCTGCTCACCCAGACAGCTGCTCGACTGTTAGCTGAATTCCCCAAAAACAAAAGCAAGCTATTCGTTTTGCTGCCACACAGAGAAAGTAACTAGGAACAAAGACACCGATATGCTGCAGACAAGAAAAGTGATGTGTTAGCAGTTATCATGTGCCTTGCTCCAACTTCTCGTGGAGCCAGCCAGCTCCATTTAAAAAGAAGTTACGCTGCAATTAGTTTCCTCCGGTGCCCTAGTACCAAGCCTGTCACCGTTTCCCTCTGGTTTAGGACTTTTGGTCTCCCCAGGAGCCAAGAGACAAGCACCAAGGTGGTACAATGCTCTCTGGATTCACCCAGCTAAGGGGATCGGCCACCGCAGCTCAGCGTTTCGTAACTGCCACACTACAAGTGTGTTTCGTACACCCAGCACGGCAAGAGCGGAGCACAGCGGTGCTGGAACCACGGCTAATGGTGAGGACTAGGTTCAGAAAACCCACATCACATTTTACTACCTCAGAACAACATACACCCAACATTAGCAGTTTTCTTCCAGAAGCCTTAAGACTTTTTCTTCTTCCTCCCTCTTTTCCCTCACAGCTGAGGGGAAAAAAGTTCATCTGACAGTCCTGAAGGCTGAAGTCTTCCCTTTATCCATGCAACAGATACAAGAGAAAGAGCAGTAGCATAAAGCTCTCTTACAATACCTGAGAGGCATCTCTCTCTACCAGGTAAAGACAGAAGAGGAGCTTCATGGTTATTCAGTTTTCTGCCTCTGAACCAAAGCCTAGGGGTTTAATGTAAACATTTTAAAACTAAGATTTTGATTATTCTACTTGGTTTTAATTTCTCATACTAGCTTTCTGATTCTGATTTTAGTCGAAGGGGTGCTTTAACTACTGTACTTGGGGAGGAAAAGCACAGCAAGGAGAAGAATACTGTTGGGTTGGGGTTAGGCTGCATTTCGTAAGATACGTGTGTTTCGGTGTAAGATTTTTCCGAGTATTGTTTAAAATGATCCATCTTACCTTTCTGTCTCTGGCTTTTGGAACAGTTTTGCCTGCATTAGACACCACCACAAAGCTCCCAGAAGCTCCCTTTCCTTTCACCTAGTTCGAAAGAAAGTCCATTTCAGTCTTTGACAAAGTAACTCGGAATAACAACAACCTGAAGGAGACTCCCAGGCATCATTACACAGACTTGGAACGCCCTGTCACCTTGGCGAGACGGGCTGTCATGGCAGAGGAACGATTTGAACCCACTGACATGTCACTACGGTCAGAAACCACAGCCAGGCGTTAATAACGTACTCTGCTGGCCCGCCCAGGAGATCCTAACGGGTATCACAGGCATCAACTACAGTGGTCAAAGAAACACGCTGCTGCAGAAGTGACAGTGCTGGACTCAGCCTGGAGACATGTGCCGCTGCAATGCCGTATGACACAACACCAAGAAACGGTCATAAATTGCACAAGAGAGAACTGTGCGAAGTATCTGACTGGCAGAACCATGCTGGAGGCCTGTCAGCGCCTAACGAAGCGGAGACAGAGGCTGATTAACCTCCACGAGGGAGAACACGGCCACCCCAGAGACCTGCCAAGGGGGCTCAAGAAACTCCTACGTAACTGAGTAACACCCCCTCCAGTGCTGCAAAGCAGCTCTTACCTGTCTAATGATTCCTCTCTCCAGCTCCCTTTTCAATGCTTGCTTTAGAAGGTAGCCCCTCCTCTCAAGCTCCAGGGAAGGGTATTTGTGGATGATGTATTTACGTATTGCAACGACGGATGCACCGCTCTTTTGAAAGCACGCCTGAAACAGAAGCAAAAAGTTAGCAGAAACCACCTGCACTGCAACTATCTGGCTGTGGGACTGGAAGAACAGAGGTGGAACTGTTGCACGTAAGCCAGCACATCGGCAGAGGATGCCAGGGCTGGCCTCTTCCCCACAGTGACTCAAAATATGACGGACAAAATACTTAACTTTCCCCTTCAGAGTGGCTAAAGGTCAAGCAACACAAAAGCAGTGCAGCAAGAGCATATCAGCTGCTCCTGTGTTCTGAAGCGCTTACAAGTAACGGCTTAAACACTACATGCTGCGACAAAATACAGTCACCCTTTTACTGCACAACCGGTAAGTCATTTTACTGATGTCAGAGTAATCGCCAAGTCAGAACAAGTTGCTCAATTATTTTTTTCAGGAAGATGGCAGACTGACATCAGTAAACCAGTAAAAAACCTAACTTGAAGTTCCTATTTTGAAGATGCAGCAGGTGGAAAGGTCATCTTGCAGTTAAGGCTGGTGGAGTCCAGGCCTCCCATGAAGGTAATGTGTGTGAAGGGCAGAGCAGCAGCGCAACTGCAACAGCACAGGTCTCTTCTTACAACCAGGAGGGATTCAGTCAACTACGACCAACACCCCTCTGGAATGCTAGTTTACAGTATTTCCATCTGTCCTGAATTAGAGTAAGTTAACACTGAAAAAAGCACATATCAAATAGAGGGATTAATCAAGGTAAATCAAGTTAAATATGCCTAGAAGGCACACCAAATTAAACGATGACAGCAATCAACCAGGTTATGTCATCCTAGCTGTTCCTAATAACGCAATTAGGTAGGGAAACAAATTCTGAACAAAGAAGTAAACTATAGGACCCCTCATCATCATCATGGACTCACATTTCAGCTCCACAGGCTTCCAGGCAGATGCATGCACGACTTACACAGTAAGTTTCCTGCTAACAGACACCACTATCATCCGTACCGTCAGCAAGCTGAAAGGGTGGATTTTAGGCACACAAATTATTCTGCTTTGCGACAGATGAACAGAAGAAACGTTTGTCTCCTGCTTACCCTGATGGCCTCCGTTAAAATAGCATCCATTTTGGGACGTGAGGTGGCAGCCATCTGAGTTTGCTTCTGTGCTCTAGCTAGCTGGCTAGCAGAAAGAGTAGCCCACGCAGGAATGGTCTTTTTCACCTTCTTCTCCTTTTCCTTAGACTGATCCTTCTCACTTAGGAAAAATACAAAGCAACAGTAAGACAAGAGAAGCTGTAAAACAAGCCAACAAGCAGAACAACAACAACAAAGCCCAGAACATCCAACGCTGAAGAGAATTTAAAGGACATTTTTGATGTTTCTATTAGGGAAAAAAAAAAAAAAAGAGAGACCCTGTCTTGATATTCAGTCTCACACACGTTCTAGAACAGCAGCCGTACTTGATTGACAGCTTCTTCCCGAGAAATACGAGCACCTTCTGAAGGGACCCATCCGTTTTCCCTCTCTCTCCCACCATCTTTTCTATCTCTAGAACACGACTTTCTTCAGAACCCTAGCAAATCCTGGAATCCAGCACTAAGCAAGCCTTACTCCTTTTTGGTTTCTTCTGAGGACTTTGTTTCCCCCTTCCCTTCGTTCTCGGGTTCCTTTGGCTGTTCTGCTTCACTGGATGCAGCAGGCAGGGTTTCATTCTCTTGTTCTCCAACAGAGGCAGATTCCTCAGAGGCAACTTCTGCATCTAAAAGATGTGAAAATGCATCGAGTTACTGCCTAAAACTAGCCTCTATTCTTCAGGAAGGGGGAGGAAAAGATACAGAACTCACCCCAAAAATTTCTTCCCACCAGACAATTTCTTTTCTCTAATTTAAGAACACGATTTAAATCTAACTTAAGTGAACAAAAGTGCTGAAAAGAGCTTCAATAAGGTGCAATCAGCCATCAAACACCAAAATAACTTCAAACAACACTATGTAGCACTTTCACAGTGAATTAATTCCCCCAGTCTCCTCCTCCTCCTAACCGCAGAAGTTACTGTTGTGATCATCCCTCATCAGAGAGGCTGGGTGGGGAAGGGAGGACGAAACCAGTACCACGAAACACCAGGATTTTCCCCTAGGTTGTGGCTTACACGTTTTTAACTCAGAAAGGTGCAAAACCACGCATCTCTACAAGAAACTGGGATAGATAATGTCACAGCTTTGTTTACAACCAAGCTGTCTTCAAACACCGCTGTTCCTGCACCACTCGCTGTGGCACCTGAAGGGTTTTAACCATTCACTCACATTTTTCCAGACTGGGCAAAGCTTTAGATTGCACATGCATTTGCAGAAGCACTTGTCTATCAGCAGGACCAAGTCCAGTCAGAAATCAACTCCCAAGCAAATTAACTCCAGTATATTTAGCTGAGAATAGCTTAGAGACCGGGCTGCCTGCTAGGTAAGGTGCATCTAAGCTGCCATCACCCACTTTCTGGCTGAAGAGCTGCGTACCGTGACTGGTTGGTGCAGTAGACACGTTCTCTACCTCTGAAGAGGAGCTTAAGCACTCCTGCTCCGTTCCTGTGTGCAGTTTCCCATGAAGACATCATGCATTTAAAACACACAGTGTATTAATAGCTAGTTTAGTATGTAATTTATTTATTTGTGACACCAAAGAGGACCAAGTCAGTGAAACTAACCGAATGTGATACTGAAATGGCACATTCTGAGAAACAGAGGTGAAGCTGCTAAGACCAGACACGTTAATATCGGACTAGATTTTGTGACACATTGTGGTAAAAGCTTTTTGTTCAGGAAAAGAAAGAAAAAGAATACTTTGTCTTTCCACTCATTAACTCCACCTTTCGATCTCAAGCCATCTTCCTGAGACTACTGAACCTTCATAGTTTCTACCTTTACTCCAAAGAACGTGCAAGCTGAAAAGGGACTATATTACTTATATTTTCCCGTCTGCAGTGTCAGGGCTTTGCCACGGGGTACAAAGGACAAAAGAAATGGGTTCAGAATGAAAAAGGTGGCTGCAAAATACCACTTCCCAATACTCCAGGAAAAGCCTGTGAAAAGAAGCTAAGCATTAGTAGTATTTTAATCACGGCAGTAAGGTTTTTCAGGAGTTCCAGAACACAAGCTTATGTTTGTACATACATTAACAATCCACTATAGAACGACACCTTACCTGCTTTGACCTCTTCACCTTCAGCAGGTTTGCTTTTGGGAGGAGTTTCCCGGGAAGAAGAATTCACCGAGCGACGGATCGGCATCGTGTCGTCTTCAATTTTCTATAAAAAGCACACCGAAATCAGTACAGGTACCGGAAAGAACGAGCAAGGTTTTGAAATGGGATTAAAGTAAATCAAAGCAGCATATACAGAAATATTCTGGTGACATTTGGAGTTTTCAGAAATTTAGAAGACCCTCAAACCAGCTTCTCTGAAGCACTAGGAGAGGATAGTTTCGCATGTTACTGTTAAAAAAGAAAGATTTTCTTTTCAATCCCAAATTAAATGAGTCAAGCGTTTGAGGATTTTGACAAATACAACATCCCAGGGAAAGGAGGGAAGGGGGAGGAGAGTGCTTCCAGGGTTTATTAGGTTCCCAATTGAGTTTCCAACAAGCAGGGGAGAAAGTAAGTACCGAGTAACCTTCAGCAGGACTGGAAGTCAAGGACTGATCCAAGGGCAAGCTTGGAGAACGGGCCAGCCCCTACCTCACTTAACTTGTCCGTGTGGATCAGCTGAGCTCCCGTTAAGAGTGGAAGCGCCTTATGATGCACGGGTTCAGCTTCAGACAGATCAGTCGCCATTTAAATTAATTTCTAGCCCCAAGTGCAGGGAACACTGTGGAGCCCCAGGTTTTAACCCCAAGGACTTTTTCCTAATGGTTTTCACAGTGCAGTGAGGAGTCAACCTGAAGTACAGAAAAGATGTGGTGTGAAAATTAACAAAACAAAAACATCTATGTCCATGTATCTAACAAACTAAAGATTAAAAAGAAAAGAAAGATAAATGACTTAGAGCTTATGACTAACATAACTGACAATCAACACTTGCATTCAACAAAGACGCTAAAACATGTACGCAAACTTGAGTGCTATGGATGCAGCAGAAATGGCACAGGCGTAAGCCAGACCCGCAGCCTGCTCCATTAAAACAGATCTGAAAGAATAAAAAGGCTCTTTAAATTAACAGAAAGCGTTAATGAAAAGCAGACATTGCACTGTGCCTGAAGTAAGGCGTCGAGGTAACGAGTAAGGCGTTGACTTTGGGTAAATGCAGGAGCTGACGCATTGACCCAGCTCCTGTCAGCCCAAGGGATTAAATCTGCTAGGCACACACCCGTGGGGGACCCGAGCCATGCCCCTCCCAAACTACACCCCATGCAACTTCGAAACGAAGGAGTCCTTGAAGCGGTTTACAAAGCTCTCCTCCAAACACATGCACCGTCACGGGTACCGAATGGGTTAAGCTCAGTTTAACCCTCATCAAGTCTCCCCCCTTACTACCATTACACCTCCACAGCCCATCCGCCTGCATCAGCCTCTCCTAAGGAGAGGTGCTCCACTATTTCCATCGCAAAACAGAGGGTCTCCTTGCTCCTTCGCTTCCTTTTTCTCAGCACTCCCCTTTAAGCACCTCAAAAGCAAAGCCTCACCTCTAGCAAGGCCGGGCTGGACCCATTCCATCCAAAGATCAAGCTCCAGGCTGCCCTCTTCTCTTCCGTACCAAGACACGGCCAAATGTTCCCGATTGCTACTTATTCTGGATGTTTTCTGTTGCTCAGATGAGAAGGCAGGCACTCACCATAAATTTTAACTTTTAATAGCTATTTCCCCAACCTGAGTGTCTCCCTCTTGATCGGAGAGCTAACAGCCCTCCTGGCACCGTTCTCAAGGCGACTTTCACCACAGCTTCAGCACTTTGCGCTGCGTTCTCCATTGCAGGGTGGATGCTCCGTACCACATCAATACCACCTCAATGACTCCGTATTCTTGCCCTAAAATACAGCCCCTCTCTTCACTCAGCAGCGGGGACTCCTCATCGATCAGAGGGATTCTCTCTACCTCAGTTATTTCCCCAGACAAACCAAAACCCAGCTCGTCTGCACAGGGCACTTTTGTAAAACCTCCAAGCTGTGTAAGAAGTTTCTATCGGAAACCAGAGGCAGTGAAAGAGCAGCTGAGGGCAACAGGCGTTAAGATACGGTGACGCAAGAGGCGACATCATTGTACCTACAAGACCTCCTCCCCAAATCATAAACTGATAAATTAATAAACTAAACGCACTGCTGCTGCAGGCGGGTGCGGCGTCGCATCTGCTGCACACAGCTATGGCACAACTGGCCAAGGGACTTTCATTTTAGGAGAACTGGACGCATCAGGAGGCAGCATTTCCAAGGGAGATGCTCTAAGGGATGCTAATTTTGCCGGCCACCTTCAAAACGCAGCGCTTCCGACAGCTAAAGGCGGTCAATCTGCTTCTGCAACCTCCGCGACTTCTCCTCTGACACCGAAGAGTCCTTCTGAAAAATGACAGCAGACTAGTCCTGCCTCAGCACCAGCAAAAGCAAACGAGTGTAACAGGGCCAGATGTTTTCTACTGAGACAAAACAGAAAAATCAAAACACATTGCATGCCAAAACCAAAGTAAATGAGATGAACGAAGCTTTCTTATGAAGTTTCAGGATGGGAAAAAATACTTCCAGCCCATTAGGACACATGAACTACAGCCCAGCACTTTTTTTTTTTTTTTTTTTTTTTTTTAGTTTTTGGCCTATTTTATGGGACTGTCCTCCCTCAAGTGTGGAAAGTGAGAGGAAAAATTAAAAATTCCACCAGGGTTCAGCTCAGTATCAAATGTTTTTTCTAGCAAGTGCAGCCTGAAGCCCTCCAAAAAAATGCCAGCGTTTTGAAGCGAGTCCTAAAATAACTAATTACAGATCCATCCTCAGGGAAATCGGTTGGGGGCTGCAAAAGATGCTTTCCCTGGGATTACTAACACACACACACACACACACAAGCACGCGCTGTGCCTGACCTGGTCCTGGGTTTTATTTATTTTTAAACTGCGTGACCTGCATGTCACACGCAGGAAAACAGAGTACTCCCAACTTTGACTTAAAATCCCCCAAGTTCTATAAAACCCCCTTTGTTCAGACCACAGTAAAAACCACTCGAGTGTTCTTGCTCTCGAGTGTGACCTTAACACAGCACAATTCACAGCTTCAGTGTCTGCAACACATGCAAATAAGCCACCATCCAGCAGAGAATTCAGAGTGACCCGCACAGGAGCTTGTTGATTCCCTCCACGTTCCCACGCGTGGATCATCTCCCGCTCAAAAGGCCAAGGGAATCAAAGGGGCAGGAGGATAATCTCCTCTTGACTTCAAAGAAAGCGCCGATGCTCAAGGCGTGAAGACACAAGTACCAAAACCATCCCCGCTCACGGACCGCTCCTGCTTAGCCTGTTTCTTTCCGCAGAGGGATCAAAAGCAGTCTTCTGGACTGGGTGTGAAATGGCAACTACAAGCAGGCCTGAACTGAGTTTCTCAAAAAGATAAAGCAAAAGACTAGAAGGCTTTGCAACAGCAATGCAGAACAACTCTCATCCCCCTCCTCCAAAAAAAAAAAATCGTAGATTTATTTAGCGGAAAAATCGCGTCACCCAAACCAACTGTTACCTGGACACCCTGTTTCGTGTCTGGGATACTAAGACATCTTTAAATGTGGACCACAACTACAATTGCAAGCACCACTCTTAATAATAAACAACTGGAAAGGAATATCTGCATTTTGCTTTTACACAAATGTCAGACAAGCAAATATTGTGCTTAGAAAGCGGGAAGAGGCCAACGAGAGAGGCCTCAAGTGGGGATGCAGGTTTTCAAGGCGGTCGTTGGGTAACTCTCACGTATGCTTAAATCTGGTGGGACTGTCAGAAAAAAAAATAACCACACCAGCAACGTGACAAACCTCAGGTTACCAACCTTTTCAAAAAGTGCCTTGGAAGTACAGAGAGTAACTCCTCACGCGGCTACTCACGCTCCTTTTCCTATGGGTCATCCGAACTGCAGGTTTGCAGGTTCCCCAACTGGTCATCTCAAAGCTGGTAATCATCCAGCAAGGAGCTGATAAGCAACAACCCCCCAACTTTCTGGTTTTCTAGAGGCTGATAGTGTCCAGTCTCCGAGCTCAAGGAGCGGCCACTAATGGAAGATCCAGTCAAAGGTACAGGCAGCTTTCATGAACTATTATGAAAAAGTACAGAAATTTCCTCCTGAGCTATCAGCACATTGTTAGGGGAAAAAAAAA